CATCATCACCATCACCATCACCATCACCATCACCATCACCATCATCATCATCATCATCATCATCATCATCATCATCATCAGCATCAGCATCATCATCATCCGGTGCGCCCTGGATCGGCGGCACTGAGCGGAGGCCACTACAATATTTTCGAGCTCACAGAAAAGTATCGAAACAGTGTCGAACAAGTACCGCCTCCCAGGGCCCGACACGTGAAGATCCTCCAGTTTCGGTACTACCTTGGGGGCGACCAAGGCTGAATTAGGTTGGAACATCATAATCCTAAAGAATTGAAAGAGGAGGAGGTGGACGACGACGACGACAAGCACGAGCAGCAGCAGGAGGAGAGAAGGCCCGTTTCTTGTACGATCGGAGATCACGCCCTTGACCCGCCTCGCCCGTGCCCCCCATCCCCCGGTCACGTCACGACTCGCGTCGGCGAAGCATGGGAATGAGCCATCCTCGGGCACTCCCAAACCGGAGCCCGCGCGAATCGTGACGTGACCGGGTCCCCTCCCTCCCGTCCCCCCCCCCCTGGTCACGCCCGCTTTCGCCAGGGGATAAAACAAGGTCTGCCCACGGAGGGAAGTGGATCAAATGCCGAACCTGCTCTGCTTGGGCCTCTCGCCCTGAGGGCCCCATCCATCAGGGCCTCATCTTTCGGAGGAGGGCGCCATGAAACAAACGCCAGCTCAAAATCGGTGCTGGGGCCCCTCCCGGGGTCCCAACGCGGAAGCCTCCCGAAGGCCCCCCCAAGGCCCACTACCGTTGTCCCCACTCGCCCCTCTCTGACTTTGAGCGTTGCCACGAGGCGAGTGCGTCTGGGACCGGGCTATCGCGACAAGGACCCCTCAGACCGGGCCTGCGGTTTGTGCCGTGGGAGCCGCACCTGCTCGGCCCCGCCAGCGGCCGCTGCCGTGCCGCCAGCGTGCTCCTCTGCACGCGGCCGCCCGTCGGCTAGGAACCGGCAGCGACACGGTGCAGAAGTGGCCAGGAGCTGATGACAGTCGTCGTGACGACTCACTCCGTTCCCTCACCTCTGACTCCTCTGACCCCGATAGCTGACATCGCAAACAAACACGCAGCACCGCAGAAAATCACGGCCGAAGACCCGGACGCCGCCGTTCTGCGCCATCGTTTTCGAACCGGGTCGATCTGCGAGGGTCCCGGGGCCCCAACCTCGGCGAGAACGGCCGTGGCAAAAACAAATGCAACGCCCGAGTATGTTGCTCCCATCGTACTTAAGGACCACATCCCAGAGATGCTTTCGAGCACCCGGAAAAGTGTCGGAAGGGGATCGAAAGAGTGTCGAAACAGTGTCGGACGAGTGTCTCCCAGGGCCCGACACGTGAAAACCTTGGGAGTCCCACCAGCCCTCTGGGCGTCGGTGGTTTAGGGCGTGTCCTCTTCCACCCCTTCCTCTTCCCCTTCGGGGAGGGGTTTATCACTGTTCTCTATTAGTAAACGCCCCCCCTCCCAGGCGACTGGGGGCCAACCAGGGTCCATGCCGACACCCCCCCACCATCCCTTGTAAAAAAACAATACAAAACACACTCTGCCTCCAAATTCGGAACATGCGCAGCCAACCCGATGCGGCCCCCCCCCACCATCCCTGTCAAAACACACTACAGAGTACACTTGGCGGCGGCGGCTGCGGCGGCTGCGGCGGCGGTGGCGGCGGCTGCGGCGGCTGCGGCGGCGGCGGCGGCGGCGGCGGCGGTGGCGGCGGCGGCGGCGGCGGCGGCGGTGGCGGCGGCGGCGGCGGCGGTGGCGGCTGCGGCAGCGGCTGCGGCGGCGGTTTGGCAGCGGGGGGCGGCGGCGGCGGCGGCGGCGGCGGCGGCGGCGGCGGCGGCGGCGGCGGCTGAGGCGGCGGCGGCGGCGGCGGCGGAGGCGGCGGCGGATTGGCCCCCAGTAGCTGCCCATCCCAAGACGACTGCTGAATATGCTGAGGTTCGGGTCAGACTCGGGTGCTACAGACGGCTTGCGGGCGGGGAGGGGGTAACTTGACCCCTCCCCTACCCCCTCCCCTGGACCTGGACGGGGGGCGCCGCGGGTAGTTAGAGCGTCCAAAACGGCCTCGGCGAGGAAGCCAAAATCATTGATTTTACTATGGTTTTGGCCCCATGTTGGCCTCCCGGGGGGGACCTTAATTGAGGGACCCCTCTTCGCTGACCGCTCTCCTCCAAGATGGCCCCAAGAAACGCCCAGGAGGCCCCAAGAGGTCCCAAGATGGCCCCAAGATGGCCCCACAAGGCCCCCAAGAGGCCCCCAGGAGGCCCACCAAAAGACCCTAAGCGGCCCCAAGAGGCCCCCCCGAGGCACCCAAGACCCCGAAGAGCCCCCCAGGATCGCCAAGAGACCCCCAAGACGTCCCAAGAGGCCACCAAGAATCGCCCAAGAGATACTCCAAGAGGCTCCGAGAGGCATTCAAGAGACCTCTGGCCCTTGTGCTTGCCCTCCTCCTCCTTTTGTCCCTCCTTCCTGCTCCTACTCCTTGTTTTTCTCCTCCTCCTCCTCCTCCTTCTCCTCCTCCTCCGCCTTCTCCTCATCCTATTCATCCTCCTTCTTCCCACTCCCTCATCCATCCATCCACCTCTTCCTTCTCCTCCTCACTCCTTTGCACGGTTCGGCCGTCCTCCTCTTTGCTGCCGCACTTCTCTGATCACCTCAACTCGCCTGGACATCGTTTCTAACTGGGCTGGTGGGGATACTTCTTGTCAGCGGCCGCATGCGAGAGCGCCAGCGGCGAGTCCAGTCAGAGCGGGCCGCGCAAAGACGAATTAGCCTAAAGCGGTGGGCCGAAGCCTCACGCGGCACCTCGGCGGCCAGGCCGGCGAGTGGAAGCTGATGGGGATACGCGAAGCGTCTAGAGTTTCGGTATTTCTGCGGGTGCCCACAAGTAGGTTGCGACGTCCTAGCCGCAGGGGCCGAGGGGACTCGCCTTGGAATCGCCGATCCTCGAGGGCGCGCTCGTCGTCGCCCAGCGACACGAGCACGGCCCCGCTCTTCGCCAGCAGCTCGGCCCGCTCCGCGGGCTGCAGGGCGCCCTCGGACGCCCGCACGGCGCGCCCGAAGCAGTCCGCCGCCTCCTCGTCGCCCCCCAGCAGCAGCCAGGCGTCGCCCAGCCGCGCGAGCACGAGGGCGCCCTCCTCCGGAGGAGGACGCGCACGGCCATCTGGCCCGACCGGGAGGCAGCAGGAGGAACGGCGGGGGCTGCTCCGGAGGCAGAAGAAGGCACGTCCTCGGAGCGCCTGCTGGCAGGCAGGTGTCACATCTGGCGTGCCTGGTGCATTCAGAGGAGAGGCTCGCGGAGGCGCGCGCGGACTTCCCGGATCGGCGCTGGACGTCCCCCTCTCTGCGAGGCGGGACTTCCTGCATATCTACCTCCAGGGCAACCGACCTCCTGGGACCCTAGGTGGCAGGGGGCAGTAGATATGGGCGCACTTGGCCCATAGGGCCCAGATCCGCCACCGTGCCTCGAGGGACGAAGTGGAATTTTCTCCAGGTCCTTCCTCTGTTCTCTGTCCTGAACCCTGGATTCTAATCAGGGGCCCCGATCATGCATTCTCAGACTGTTCGGGCTCCAATTAGCAGGGCGGCGCTCTGCTAATTGGGCCCAACGCATGCGCATTCGCTAGCGCTGCTCTTCCCCTCATTCGCAGAGCGCTGCTCTGCTAATTGGCATCAAAACAGGGCTCCCCATCCGGCTCTGATTCGCAGAGCGCCGCCGTGCTGATTGGCCCCAGAGCAGGTACGCGCGCACTGCTCCGCCTCTCATTCGCAGAGCGCCGCTCTGCGAATCTGACTCAGAACATGCGCGCTCGCTGCTCATGCTTTATTCACCCGAGAGGCCCCAAGATTGCCCCGAGACGGCCCGAGATGGCCTCCTCATCGCCCCCATGAAGCGCCCAAGACTACCCCGAGACGGTCCAAGACAGCACCGAAACGTCCCAAGAGAGTCTGAGTCGGCCCGAGAGGGTCTGAAGAGGACACTCTGACCAATGACCTAGACACAGCAGGTCGACGCCCGCCACGATGCAAGAGACCCGAATGTTTCTCAAATTGGACGCTACTTAATTCATATATCCCGCAACATCGAAAAAACGCATTCCAAGATGCTCCAATATCCTAGATGGCCTCCAAGTCCGCCGAAGAAGCTACCAAGACGGCCCAAGATGACTCCGAGATGCCTCCGAGTCCGCCCAAGAAGCCTCCAAGATTGACCAAGACGGCCGACGAGACTCCCAAGACGCCCCCAAGACGTCCTCCAAGAGGGCCCGAAGAGGCCAAACCCACTGATGTTCCTTAGATTGTTGAAGGATGTCGGCATTTGCTTCTTTTCCGCCTTCCGACAGCCCAAGACGGCCCAAGAGGCCTCCAAGATGGCCCCAGAACGGCCCTGGAGGCCCCCAAGGTGGTCCCAAGAGGGCCCCAAGAGGCCTCCAAGACGCCCAAGAAGCCCCCAAGACGGCCATGGAGCACCCGAAGAGGCCCCCGAGTCGGCCCAGAGATGCCCCCAAAACGGGTTCCGCCGGCGTCAGACGGGCCAGCAGCCCACCAAGACGGCCCAAGATGGCTCCGGAATGGCCCAAGACAGCCCAGGAGGCCCCCAAGAGGTCTCCAACACGGCCCCAGGGGCCTCCAAGAGGGCCACCTGGAAGGCCCGACGAAGCCAAAACCATTAATTATCCTAAGGTGTTTCCCTCCTCGGTTCTCGGAGCCCCAGACCCCATCTCTGCCTGCGGCATTTTTCGAGCCAGATGCCATATCGATCGGTGATGACCCAGGACGAGGCAAAATCGCCCGTTGTGCAAAACCATGCGACACCAGGGACCGTCGGGCGCAGCTCGGCAAACGAGTCATTGTTCGTCCTCCCCCCCCTTCAGCATAGGGTGCAAGCCCGACTTGTCTGGCTGATGCTCTGGGGGGGGCCTGTGCTCAGGGGAGGCTGCAGCACTGCTCAACGATGCGCTGCTTAAGCGAATCTGCAGGGTGGGCACTTTCCGGGGTCTGTACCTCGGTGCAGATCCTCTGCGCGCCTCGTCTCCGTCGTCGCTGTCGGCGTCGTCGTGGTCATGGTGCGTGCTGCTCTGCTCGGGAATTGTCGTCTTCTGTTGGACACCTCTAGCCACACCATGCCGGGCCCACATGCTCACACATAAGTCAGGTGTCAGATATCCGTTGTCGCTGTTTTCGCCTGGCTCGCTCTGCCACTGATGATGCGAGACACACAAGTCACAGCATCGTCCAATGCGAGCGCCGTTGCGGTGAACAACGACACGGGCGATTCAAGACAGCTGCCACGCGAAGCTATAGGAAAAGCGTGCCGTGTGTGCGTGTGCGTGTGAAACCGCTGCGGGTCACTATCCCTTCTGAAGTCCTTGTTCCCCTCGTGCAGTGAGCCACCGCCACTACTCGGGGGCGCGCAAGCATGGATGAGTGATCCATGGATTTGGCGCGCGGTCGCCAGATCCATGGATCGGGGGAGGTGCCTTCCCCCAATGCGGCCGGTGCCGCCTCCTTCGGCGGCGGAAATCCGCGATTTCCCATGGAAACGGGACCCATCGCTAATCCAAGCCCCCTCGATCCATGTTTGCAATCGCCTGATACGCGCGCGTTCCGTCATCCGCCGCCTCCTCCTCCTCCTCCTCCTCCTCCTCCCCCTCCTCCTCCTCAACCTTCTTCCTGCCCCCCCTCCTCTCCAATCCTTCCCCGTCCTCCTCCTCTCCTTCCTCCTCCTCTCCCTCCTCCTCCTCCTCCTCCTCCTCCTCCCCCTCCTCCTCCTCCTCCTCCTCCTCCTCCTCCTCCTCCTCCTCCTCCTCCTCCTCTTCCTCCTACCTCCACCCCTCCAGCAGCGGTCCTCGGTCTCCAGCGCCTCGTCCCCCTCGAGCGCCCGCATCCCCTGCGCCAGGGCGGCCTCGGCCTGCTCCAGCTCCCCCTGCCAAGGGGCCACGCGAGGGGAGAGATGGCTCGGCTCACTTGGCGGAAGTCGGGCCTGTCCCACTGCAGGCCGACTTTCTACCAGAATGCAAGAATGCGCCAAAAACAAACGAAAATTCGGAAGAAACAAAAAAATGCTCAAAAAGTCGTTCTCATACTATCTTTTGACTGTTTTTGAGTACCCCTCCTTGTAGAGGGACAGGCCCGACTTAGGCCTCGAGCGGAGCTCGGCGCGAGGCACCGCTGACGACATCGCCGAGAGGCCCCCGGACGCTCCCGGGGCGGGGCGGGCCAGCGGGGCCCCGTCGGCGCTGCGTGGGCGGCTGGGAGTCGACGCGCCACCCCTGAGCCTGCCCTTCGGTCGGGCCTGCCCCCCCTACAGGCAGACTTCGGGCGACAGATACAGAAACATAGACCCCCAAGACTCAAATCATTTTTTAAGCAGGTGCTCGAAGAATCGTCCCCAGACTGGTGCTTGACCATCTTGGGGCGTCCCCCCTGTAGAGGGACAGGCCCGACTGTGAATTGAGCAGGGACCGACCGTCCCGGCATTCCTATAGTTCTACCACGAAGTGTTCTTAGAACCCCAAAATGTTCTAAGAACAACAACAATGTTCTTAGAACATAAGCCCGATGCGTTAAACCAAGACAGTCCCGGCCAGAAATGTTCTAAGAACATTTCCTGGGAACCACAAAAGGTTCTTAGAACATTCTTTGGTGGGGCTATAGGCGAGCCGGGACGCTTCGCCACTGCTTGACGACTGGTAAGCCCACACCCGCCCAGGGTGGCTGTCGGGCCGGATTTCCTCCATATACATATTTTTCCATATCTCGTACACACAGATACAAGGATCCCACATCCTTTCCCCTATGTTCTGGGCATTCGCCTTCCCCCCCACTTCCCACATGTTATGTTCTGGGCTTTCGCCTTCCCCCCCACTTCCCACACATTCCCTTTTTTTCCTGGGGATCGACGCTGAATTGTGTCTGTGCGTCTTCTCCCCTCCCGGGTGGTGAAGTCGGGCTCGGGCCTCGGCCGGCCGGCCCCGGGAGGGCCGGGGCGCGCCCCCCGCGAGGCGCGCCTCGCGGGCGAGGCGCCCGCTGGCCGGGGGGCCTCCCAAAAGGCGGGCGGAGGCCGCAGAGGCCCGCGCCGCAGGAGAGCCTCCCGTGGGCGGGCGCGGTCCACTGCACTGAAAGGGGCCCTGGGACACACAAACAAATGCACACAAATCACAGGATTCCCCATATTTTCTCCTACATTTTCTGGGTTTCTGTCTTCCCTCCCGAGTCCCATGTTTTTCCATGTTTTCCTGGGAGTCGACGTTCCACTGCACTAGGGGAAGAAACAGTGGCATACACACAAAAACTCGGAGCTCCGCGCGTCCCCCACACCCCCTCGAGTTACGAAAACATCACGACGGGCGGCTTTTCATCCTTTTTGGTCTCTGGGGGGCCCTTACCGGCCCTCGGGACCGTCAACAAGACGACCCGGGACGAAAAACGACTCGGGACGAGCGCGTTCCACTGGGAGGGGCGGTCCAGCGCCGATCCGAGAAGTCCGCCGGGACGAAAAACGACTCGGGACGAGCGCGTTCCACTGGGAGGGGCGGTCCAGCGCCGATCCGAGAAGTCCGCGCGGAGCTCCGAGGTCTTATGCTTACGCCACTTGTTGTTCCCCTGTACGCGCCGGTCGGAAGGAGTGGGTAGAAGCATGAAGTAGGAAGGCGGATCTAGGGAGCCCACAAAGGACGTACGCGCCCAACTATGTACATGAACACGGCACCTCGATCCGCGAGACCGGCCGCGTTATACGAACATTTGCGCAATGCGTACTCTCGAAACCAGCGTGGATTCATGTACATGTACGTCCTTCTTTCGCTCCTGAGGATCAAGCGGATTGGGTCCGGGCCCGCCCAAGGAAGAACCAGCAACAGCCAAACCGTATATAGGCTCTGGAAGCAGGGGGGCGCCTGAGGCAGATTGGGCCCTGGGAATCCAAGAACTACCTCCTTTCAACGACCGACGGGCACTCGCAGCGTGACGACTCGCCAATGGCCTGGATCCGCAGAAGGGGATCTGCGCCAAATCGCATCGAGGCAGACACCTGGCTGGCTCTTCTCGGACGCGTGCGAGCGGGCACTCTGCGAGCAGCGGCACGCGCTCGGAGCACCCGACAGCCTCCGACCCCGAGCCTGCCCCTGAGCCCCTCTCGGGGATCTTCTGACCCGGGTCAATCCAAACCCGGGTCAGCAGGAAACCAAAAACTGCAATGCAGGAAAAAAAACTGCAACGCAGGTCCTCGCAAACCCGGGTCAGCCAATAGGCGCGGCCGCCTCGCGGCCACGAACGGCTCCCTAACCCGGGTCGGTCAGAGGGGGTCTTCGCAGGATCATCCTGCAGGATCTGGCGCCCTGGCTGACCCCCGTTTGCATTGACCCCCGTCTCGAGGCTTCCGACCCTCGCCCCCCGACATCGCCCCGGACCTGCGCGGCGTAAGCCGCGCCCAGGCCAGCCAGCAGCTCCGCCGCGGCCACGCCCTCGGCGAGCAGGCACGGAGCGCCCCGGCAGTCCTGAGAGGCCTACCAGAGATGTCGGGCCTGTCCCCCTCCAGGGGGGATTTTCGACGAATTTAAAAAAAAAAAAAAAAAAAAAAAAACCGAGAAGGGCAAAAAAAAATCCCCCCCCCCCCCCCAAAATACGACCCCAGACTATGTTTGGAGTATTTTCTGACAATGTTGGGGGTATTTTGTATTTTTCGTCGAAAATCCCCCAGTAGGGGGACAGGCCCGACTTAAGCCTACAGCGACGGCGCTCGTAGGAACCAGGGAGGATGCCCCGGAGCACCGGGCGGTCGTCCTGAGAGCCACAGGACCACGCCTCGAACCGAGGACGCGTCGGCCAGACGCGCTCGCACGGGGCACCTCGTGCAGACCACGCGGGGCTCCTAGAATTAGGTCGGGCCTGTCCCCCTCCAGGGGGATTTTCGACGAAAAACAAAAAAGCACCCCCCCCAAAATAGTCCAGAAATGGGGACTATCTTTGGGGTATCTTTTGACCTTCTTGGGGCATGTTTGGGGTATTCTTTATTTTTCGTCGACGACCCCCCTGTAGGAGGACACACCCGATCGGGGATGGACAGACCCCCCTTTAGTGAAACGTGGTTTAGTGAAAACGACCTGAGGCCCAAACCTGGCGGGCGCAAGCCTGGAAAATGACGGCCACGGCGCCATCTCGAGAACCGAAAACGGACAATTCACTAATCGACGTGTCACTGTTGGGGGTTCTGTCCACCCCCGACCCCCTGTAGGGGGACACGCCCGACACAATCCCAGAGCGTGGCTCGTGGACGCATCGGCAAGCCGGGGCGCTTCGCCGCTGCTCGGCCTCGAGCGGGCCGCCCGCGCGCAGCACCTCGCGGCCCCGCTCCTGGGGGGGGCTCAGAGCTGCCCACGCCGGTCGGTCGGGCATGTCATCCCGAGGGCGGATCTTGGACGGAAAAGAAAGCACAGTCAAAGCGGGCTCCAGAATAGTCACACGCAGTCAAAGCATCGTCCCCCGACTATTTGCTGACTGTGTCTGAACATCCCTCCTGTAGAGGGACATGCCCGGCTTAAGCATACCACTGTTCGGGCCGTTGGGGGCGGCAGGGGGGGGTGCCCTGAACCGGGAGTAAAGAGGGGCCCTGAAGGGTTATGATGTTCCAACCTACTTTAGCCTTGATCACCAGAGAGAATTTCGAGCACCCAAACAAGTACATAAAAATCAAGGGTTTTCACGTGTCGGGCCCTGGGAGACACTCGTCCGACACTGTTCCGACACTGTTCCGACACTCTTCCAGGTGCTCGAAATTCCTTCTGCGGTGTGGTCCGTAAGCACGATGGGAGCAACCAACATAACTAAAGGAGCCTGTCAAGGCGGCGTTTTCCTCACCACCTGGGTCGGACATGCCGCCCCCCATTACCACCCGCCCGAGCTGCTCCCCTGACTCTCCCAGGGTGCCTTGCGACCAGACGCTCGAGGCGAACCACCCTGGCGACGAGGGCCTCCCAAGGAGACCCAGGGGGGCTACAACGAGTCAGGGGCAGCGGCATCATGGGACGCACAGAAATATACTAATACGACATGTCCTCCTTGGAGGCGCGCGTCCGAACCGAACATATAGTGTACCCATCTTGTACTTTATCGTTTCCCGAGCGGTGTGGCCAGAAAGCGCCCGCCACGACGCATATACCATCAGATGTTTCGCTGCGCGCGTCGCCCCTGAGGGGGCGACGCACATACAGCATAAGTATGTCGGGGTGACGCCGACATCATGCCGCTACCTAATACGCAGCTAGACCGACGATAAGATCGAGTCAGGGTACAAATCCAGAATCCCTCGGATCCGGCGGCTCTGGTGGATGCCTCGGGCGCCGCGGCCAGAGCGTTCCGGAACGCTCTGAGAGCGCTTTGGAACGCATCACTTAGGCCGCTACCCTCCCAGACCCCCGACGTCATGGTTGTTTCCTAACGTCGACCCCCCAGAGGTCTCGACCCCTGCGTCCCGAGTCGTTTCTGTTGACGGTCTCGAGGGCCTGGAAGGGCCCCCAGGTCTACGCCAGGTCGAGCGCCGCTGCCCCTTCGCCTGCCCCGAGCTCCCGCGCACGGACGGCGCCGTCCGCGTCGCCCGCTGCGAGGTACACCTCGCCGAGGCGGGAGAGCAGCGCGGCGGCCTCGGAGGCGTCCGCGGGCAGCGCGGCCTCCCCGAGCGCGGCCTCCGCCGCCGCGAGCGTGAGGAGCGCCTCGGCCTCCCGGCCGCAGTCCAGCAGCGCGGAGCCCAGGTTCACCAGCAGCTTGGCCCCCTCCTCTCGGCGGCGAGCGGAGGGGGGGAAGAGCGAGGAGGGGGCGGCCTTCGCAGAGGGCGGCGGGGCTCCTCGGGAGCCCTCGCTCCTTCGGAGCAGTCTTGTATTGCGTCTTCGGGGAAGGCTTAGAACACTTCTCTAGGGGACAAACAAACCTACCCCGCTTTTGACCACCCTCGCTTCCAAGAGATACCAAGCGATGCCAAACAACGGCCTGTACTGGTCATGCCGCTTGACGAGGAGGCGCGTGGTATGACTTGGTTCTGCCTGGAAGCGAAAGCGGGGTAGGTCATTCACGCTCTGATTCTCAGAAGGCCGGGGGACTGAGAAGGCCCGCCCCTTCTGAACTGCCCCCCGAGCTCGCCGCGGTGAGGAGGGGGGGCAGCTGAGAGTGAGAATGGAAGTGTCGAGTCACACAGTGATATCACAACGTTACGCTATCCACCCCTGAACTTGCCCACGGAGAAGATGAGCCCGAAGACGAAGCGGGGGAGGGCCAAATGGGCGACGAAGAGACACGGGTCTTTCCGAGATGGCAGTGCGACCTTACGCCGCGGCTTCGGGCCGCCAGCGCGGCACGCCACACCGATACCGAGAGCGCCCACGCGCGACCTTACGCGGGGAGCTCACGCGCCAATGCAGATGAAGATGACCCCCCTTGTCTGGCGTCCCTCAACCAAGACATCTGCATCGTGGGCCTTCGGGGGGGTGCCCTCGCCCCCACGGCTGGACCCGGCTCGGGGCACTGGTTCGTCTGGACCACGGGAAGGGTCCGGGGGCCGCTTTGAGCTGCCGTTGCCTCAGCTAGCTCGCCCTGCCCCGATCCCCCCTCGGCGGCGCGCCCGGCGGGCAGGAGGTGGGAGGGGGGCCCAAGAGAAGGTGGCCTCCGGGCCGTCCGAGAGGCGTCCCCAAAGGCCACCCCGGAGGACACGCAGGGGGCTTCTCGGGAGGCGTGGAGGCCTCCGAGAAGTCCCGAGGCCTGCTGAGACGGCCAGCCCCCTCATGCCTTCCTAGAGGCCTCCTAGATGGGGCCCGACTAGACGTGGTCGGAAAATTGCCGCATCGGCGATGCCTCGGCGATTTCGGCGGCCCTCACCACGGTTTCCATACGCGGCAATGTCGCAGGGCCCAGCAGGCATGGCACTTTCTCGACACCAGAGGTGGCAGGGGGTGTTCCTGCACCGCGGTCTCTATACTCGCCAATGTTGCAGGGGCTCAACAGTCGTGGCACTTTCTCGACATGCAACGGTATCGGCGGGGCAACGGCCACCAACATCATTCTCACATGCTTCACCTCAGCGATCACCACTCCAACCATAATACAAAAATGAGGTTCCTCGGTAGCGTAATTGACGGTCCCAGGGCCCAGCGAGGGCCGCTAGAGGCCGAAAATCTGAAAACAAATCCGTCTTGATTTGTTCAATACGTTGGAGCCCTGGGAATCCAGCCGGTGCGACGAGAGCTCTCCGGGTTGAGCAGTGGCATCGGTGCCTTCTCTCGCTCTGATGAGGGGGCAGAGGAGGAGGAGGGGGAGGTGGGGGAAGAGGAGAAGGAGGTGGACGGGGAAAGGATGAGGAGGAGTAGGCGGAGGCTGAGGAGGAGGGAGGACCGGGAGGAGGAGGAGAAGTAGGAGGAGAGGACCAAGAGGAGGGAGGGTGAGGATGAGGATGGACTGGAGTGGGGAGGAGGAGGAGGGAGGAGGAGGAGGAGGAGGAGGAGGAGGAGAGGAAGGAGGAGGAGGAGCAGGAAGGGAGAGAGGGGGAGGAGGAGGAGGAGAGAGGAGGAGGGAGGATGAGGATGAGGAGATGATGAGGAGGAGGAGGAGAAGGAGGAGGAGGAGTGGAGGAGGAGGGGAGGGGAAGGAGAGGGGAGGAGAAGGAGGGAGGGAGTAGAAGGAGAGGAGGAGGAAGAACCAGGATGAGGAGGAGGGAGGAGGAGGAGGAGGGGAGGGGAGAGGAGAGGAGGAGGAGGAGGAGGAGGAGGAGGAGGAGAGGGAGGATGAGGGAGGGGGGGGGGGGCAGGAGGAGTAGGAGGAGAGGGAGAAGGAGGGAGGAGGAGAAAGGGTTGAGGGGGAGGATGAGAGGAGGAGAGGATGAGGAGGGGAGGGGGAGGAGGAGGGGGAGGAGGGGGAGGAGGCGGGGGAGGAGGAGGAGGAGGGAGGAGGAGGAGTGAGGAGAGGAGAGAGGAGGAGAGGCGAGGAGTCAGAAGGAGGGGGGATGAGAAGGAGAAAAGAGGAGGAGGAAGGAGGAGGCAGGAGAGGAGGAGGGAAGAGGAGAGGAGGAGGAAGGAGGAGGAGGAGGAGGAGGATGAGGGGGGGGGGGGGGGGGGGGTGGGGGAGGAGGCACGGAGGAGGGGCCCTTTGCGCGGCCGCTCCTCGGTCTCCAGCTCCCCGCACGCGCGGAGCGCGCCGCGCGCCGCCTCCAGGTGCTGCAGCGCTGCCTCGGGCTCGCCCTCCTGAGCAGGGCTCAGCCCGAACAGCGCTCGCTGCCGGCGTGTTGCTTCTGCTATCCCGTCGTAATTGTTCCCCAGCGCGAGGGGGCCTGAGGAGGAGGAGGAGGAGGAGGAGGAGGAGGAGGAGGAATAGGAGGAGGAGGAGGAGGAGGAGGACGAGGAGGAGATGGAGGAGGAGGAGGAGGAGGAGGACGAAGAGGAAGGAGAAGGAGGGGAGAAGGAGGAGGAAGGAGGGAGGAGGAGGACGACGAAGGGAAGGAGGAGGAGGAGGAGGAGGAGAAGGAGGAGGAGGAGGAGGGAGGAGGAGGAGGGAGGAGGCGGAGGAGGAGGAGGAGGAGGAGGAGGAGGAGGAGAGAGGAGGAGGAGAGGAGGAGGAGGGGGAGGAGGCCTGGGGATCGAACGCCGCTCCCCGATCGAGCACCACCACCTTGGGGGCACTCGACGCGCTCGAGAGGGCGGCCTCGCTCCGCCCTCTGCAGCAGGCCGAGAGCAGGACCAGAGCGGCCCGCGCAAAACCGCCAGAGCACCGCTGAGAGCCCGAGCCCCGCCCCTGACTGCGTACCAGACCACCCCAACCCAACCCTAATCGGGCGCTGGCAAAACTGGGTTTAGTGGGACCTGGTTTAGTGATGTGTACTTGGGGGCGCCCCCAGGCCCCGTTCCACTAACCGAAACTGCCGTCACCCGAAAAAATACCAGCTGCGGCAGACCTGGTCTAGCAATTATGGGCAATTCAAGGGCTCCGGGGCCCTACCACTAACCGGGTCCCGGAGGAGGAGGAGGAGGAGCAGCAAGAGGAGGAGGAGGAGGAGGAGGAGGAGGAAAGAGGAGGAGGGAGGAGGAGGTGAAGGAGGAGGAGGAGGAGGAGAGGAGGGAGAAGGAGGAGGAGGAGGAGGAGGAGGAGGATGGAGGAGGAGGAGGAGGAGGAGGAGGATGGCGTGGCGTGGCGTGGCGTGGCTGATGGTGGGTGGTGAGCTCCTGAGCCCGCAGGGCGCCCAGGTTCGCCAGGAGCCCCGCCGCGCCCGCGGTCCCCAGCAGGCCTGCGCCCTCGAAGAGCCTCCTGGCCTCCTCGAGGGACTCCAGCGCCTCGCGCGGGGCGGCGGAGACCCAGATCTCTTTTGAGGGCTGAAAAAACGGCCCTACCCTGGGTTACAAGTGCGTGGTCTGTAAACCTCCTGGGAACCCCCAAAGCCTAGAGCCGCCAGGACGAGGCACATCACGCAGGGCTTACCCTGTCAGCCCACAGGAGTTCAGAGCACAGCGCCTCGTACACCAGGGTAGGGGCGTGTTCTTTGCTCTCGACTCTTGGGCGTCTCGAGGGAGCATCGGGGCGGAGGCGCATCATCCTTTCTGCTGCCTCCCGGAGCCCTCACTGGGGCCTCGGGGCCGTCCAGAAACGGCTCGGGATGAACAGTCGGTCCCGGGGAAGTGGTCGAGAGGTCTGGGCTTCGTGCCTCGAAACAATCGAGGCGCCGGATGCCACGTCTGGGAACCAATCCATAGCCATGCCCTCGCGGCCTGGATGCTGGCGCGCGATCTCGCGCAATACGCGGTCGCACGAGTACTCTCCACGCGCGGCATCCGCGAAAATTGAGCAGGGACCGAGCGTCCCGGTATCCCTGCAGGGCGACCACGACATGTTCCTTGAACCAAACGAAAAACAACAACAATGCTCGTAGAACCTAAAACCGATTGCGACTGAGACGGTCTCAACCAAAACATGTTCTGAAGAGCCGCCCCGTAGCCGCGGGATCGTTTTCTTACCAAGAAACGTAGACCCATGAACAGCAACTCCACCAACAGCCAGCGCCGTGACACCATCCGCATTGCAATTGGAATTAAGAAGCATGCTGGCACGGAGAAGAAAAGAGGAAGACCAGAGGAGAGACGGAAAAGGGAACGCAGCGACTCAAAATGCAAGAAGCCCAGGGGCCCAGCCCGCGCTGGGGATGAGGACATCTTGGTCGCCCACGCGCCTCGTCGGTGGCGCCCATGCTGGCCTGCACCTCCAGAGGCAGAGCGCAGAGCGGCATGCGGCAGCTCCGTTTACCAGCCTGGAACATCTCCCTATCCCTATGCTGGGCACCTCCTCATCACGATGCCAATCTTAGGGATTCCCTTATTTTTTGAGGGCGAATCCCTAAGATTGTCATCGCCTTCTGGCGTGTCAATCTTAGGGATGGGGATACGTTCGAGGCTGGTAATCCGTGCCGTGACGCCGCCGGCCGGCCTCGGCCTCTGACACCGCGGGGGGCCGTTCCGCCTGCAACGGCCCCAGACCCCTCGAGGCACGACCTGGCCATCGCTCGGACGTCCATTCCCTGTGCTTTTTTCGGTTTCGTGCGTGGCTTTCTCGCCAAATGATCAAGGATGCTCCTCGATGGTCCTCGCCGAAGGAAAAATGCACACGTCCGAGCGATGCCAAGGACTTGTTGGGGTCGACGTCGTCATAACAAAAAAAACCATGACGACGGGGGTCTGGGATCGCGGCTCCCCGAAAGCGCACAGCGTTCAACGGTGGACGAATTCGGGCCGCTGGTGGCGTTCAACCTGGAACGCCCCCGGTGCGGTCGTGCCTGGGGTCGAACCGTAAACCTGCACTCTCAGAGGTCCGCCCGGGATACTCGAATCTGCGCTTGACATCCCTCCCTGGCGCGCGGGGCGCGCCGGGGGCGGCGCCAGAGTCGCTGCCAAGAGGCCCAACGCAGATCCAAGAAAAAACGCTCCGAGAAGTGAAAGTATACGCAGCTTTCTTCTTAAACGGCTTGTCCCAGGAGTCTACTGTGGGCACATAAACATGATGCTGTTATATACGTATACCGTAGCACCCCACAGTTGCGGATAAGAGTGAGGGGGCGGCAGAGTCGTCGGCAGTCTGCGAGGCCCTGAAGAAGCCCGCGCCACGCGCCGGTTCACTTACAAAGAGCACAACGAACCGTCCTCAAATTCTCGTCAAAGCACTATGGGTGCATCGCGGATAGGTAGCCGATGGGTCGCGGGTGGGTCGCGGGTCGGTCGCGGGGTGGTTCGCGGGGTGGGTCGCGGGCTGGGTCGCGGGGTGGGTCGCGGGCGGGTCGCAGGCGAGATGCTCTAGGGCGGTCTTGGCGGTTTGGGGTCGTGGTGCACGCTGGGGCAGCCTGCCACTTGTAGATGCTGACAACCTACGTTTTCCGCAAGGAATGGGTCGAGCTCCGCCTCCTGGGGCCCTTTTGGGGAGCCCTCTTGGGACGTTTTGGGAGCCTCGTGGGCCTTCTGGAAGGGATCGTCCAGGAGCTGTGGGGGCTTCTTGGAGGCGTCTTGGGGACAGCCTGGTGTGTCTTGGAGACCTCGTGAGGGCCTTCGGGGGTCCCGGTCCCCCCATGCGCCGCGGAGGTCCCTGGGCGCGGCCAGGGGGCCTCGTCCCCCAGGATATCGGATCGGATCGGACCCCTCGGAGGCAGCAATTCGTGAAGTCATCAACCACAGAGTGCCTCTAGGACCGGGCTACACCCGAAGATAAACCATGCTGTCACACACTGGCATAAATCCCAAACCGCAGGTCTTAGCGCCTGCTGGATCCTACAAGTGAATGGCATCCAGTGTTCGAGCATGTATTCCCGATCGGTGCCCCGAGAGACTAGGTGGCACTGAAGCGCTGCGCGCCGTCACCGACGGCTGTGAGAGGAAAGGATCTCTGCGAAGCCGCTTCGGGGCGTGTTCGCATTCGGCACGGGTGGAGGAGTGAGGACGGCGAGGGGGAGGATCAGGACGAGAAGAACTCGGAGTGGCCGACTTTTCAGGATGTGTTTGAAAAGTCTGTCTATCAGACGGCTGCTCACCAGGGCCACTCACAGGATGTCTATCAGCAATCGATCGGGCGTGTGCTGACAGCGCCGCTGTCTTAGATAGCATGGTAGAGGTTCCAGTCGATGGTGGCAGGTGTGGGCGTCCCATGCCCTTAGAATCTGTAGATGCCAACTGCGATGACGGCGAACGCAAACTCTCAGGGCTCCCCATGCCCAGGGAATCGGTTGATGTTGGACGCTGCGGTTTTCGAGGGGCTCCCACGCCCTCGTGCGTATTCGTCGGAATATGTGCTGTGCTCCACTGCGCACAGCTGTGGCGCGTCCAACATAGTCGGGAAATCGCGTCGCTTCTCACATACACTCATGTACCTATATGCTTATAGTTATGCTGATGCCTCCTTCGAACACCTAGTGAAGGAGCACAGGCCCTCGACATCGGTGGCCCATACCGTGCAGGTGCTCGGGATCGCCCGCCGCAGGGGGGGGGGGGTGCGGGCAAGGTTCGTATCCATATCCAGTGCGTCTTGGATGTGTTGGGAAGGAGCGTCACAAGGCCGAGGCGCAGTGGATATGGATAAACATCGAGCCTCCAGGGGGCAAGTTTATCCATATCCAGCGCGCCTCTGGTTTCTGGGGAAGGGAACGGGGGGGGGGGGGGGGCTCCTCCTCCTCCTCCTCCTCCTCCTCCTCCTCCTCCTCCTCCTCCTCCTCCTCCTCCTCCTCCTCCTCCTCCCCTCCTCCTCCTCCTCCCCCTCCTCCCCCTCCTCCTCCTCCTCCTCCTCCTCCTCCTCCCTCCTCCCCCTCCTCTCTTCCTCCTCCCCCCTCCTCCTCTTCCTCCTCCTCCTCCTCCTCCTCCTCCTCCTCCTCCTCCTCCTCCTCCTCCTCCTCCTCCTCCTCCTCCTCCTCCTCGGGCACATTCCTCCCCGAGCCTCCCCGATGTCCGCCAGGAGCGAGGCGCCCTCGGCGCCGCCCAGGGGCTCCAGGAGCCCCCTCGCCTCCCTGCCGGGCGGCGACGTCCGACCCCTGCCAGCCACGTCGACCGCGGGCGGTCGCGCGCCGAGGGGCTCGCCATCGCTCGGACGTCCATTTCCCGTGCATTTGGTTGGTTTTGTGCGCGTGTTTTTTCTAGGGCTCCCAACTTCGCGCTTCGCGCTGCGCGAAGCGCGAATAACTCGCGCTCTCGCGCCGCCCTCCCAAAGGGAGAATAGGAGGACGAGGAGGAGGAGGAGGAGAAGGAACGAGGACCGCGAAGCGCGAAGCGCGAATAACTTCGCGCCCTCGGGGGAGCCCTTGTTTTTGCTCGATGGTCCAGGATCGTCCCCAATGGTCCTCGCCGGGAAAAAATGCACACGTCCGAGCGATGCCAGGTGGGAGGCGGCGGGGGTGGGGCTCGGAGCTCGCCGCGTGCTCCACCCCCTCCGAGCCCCGCCCCCGCCGCCCGCCGCCGCCGCCCGAGCCGTGCATCGGCGAGGGCGGGGGCTCGGCCTTCCGCCGCCGGACCTGTAGGCCTCGAGGGCCTCCTCCAGGTTCCCCTGCTCGGCCCGCGCGGCCCCCAGCTTGACCAGCAGCCGCGCGCCGCGGGGCCGGGCCAGGCGGCCCCTCTGCTCCAGCACCTGCGGGAAGGGGGGGGCCGGGCGGGCGCGCGCGGGTCTGCACGGTGCTTCTGAGGATTCCCCCAGCGCTGTGCCAGGTTTTTTCCTGGGCATGCCTCTCCCCCTCCATTTCCCACAGGCTCCCATCTACTCCCATGAAACAAAATCACAATCAGGCGTGCTTGTGCTCATCTTCAGGTCGGGCATGTCCCCCTCGCAGGCGGACTTTAGACGAAGAGTTTAAGAAATAGTCAAACGATGCCACAAAATAGTCAAACAATATGCAAAAAATCGTCTCCAGATCATGCTTGACTATTTTTGAATCTTCCTCCTGTAGAGGGACAGGCCCGACTTAAGCAGATATTTCCCTCCTGAACCTGGCACGCCGAGTCGTAGAGGCTCGCGGCCTCGTCCGGGTCGCCCATCCCCACGTTCGCGTCGCCCATCCTCTCCAGCAGCTCCGCCCCCCTGGCACTGCTGACCGCCTTCCGGCCCTCGAGCACGCGCATCGCCTCGACGTACCTGGGGGCACGGACGGGGTGCAAACACCGCCAACCCACCTGGTCCTCTCTCGGGGCGCGCTCCGACCGGAACGTCGGAGAGAATCCAGCCGCGGCGACGAGGGCTCTTCGGGACGAGCGGCAGCATCGGCATCTTCTCCTCCACGGAGCACCGGCCCAGCGCGGCCCTGAAGTCGCCGGCCCCCGCGAGCGCCGACCCAAGCCGCAGCAGCAGGTCGAACCCCTCCTTGGTGCCGAGCGCGCCGAGCCTCTCATAGGCGTCGCGGGCCGCCGCGAGGTCCGCCGCGGCGGCCGCAGCGTCCCCCCCGCTCGCACGCAGGATGCCCATGCTCGGAGGGCGTCAGCCGTGCGCCTACGCTGACACTGGCCGTGCCAGTGAAGGGGCCCTGGGACACACAAATAAATACACACAAATAAAAAGATTCCCCTATATTTTCATATATTTTCTGGGTTTTTGTCTTCCCCACCACTTCCCATATTTTCCAATATTTTCTGGGAATCGACGATTAATTGTGTCTGTGTGTTTTTTCCCCTCCTGATCCACGCTGCTCCACCCTCGCCGAGTGGGGCTCACTCGGAAACACAGAGTTGCGCAACCAGCTGGCGCCAGGCGTGACCCCCTCTAGGCTTAGGTCGGGCGTGACCCACCTACAGGCGGGTTTTGGACGACAAATAAAAAATACTCAAAACATCGTCCCCTGACTTTGTTTAAACTATTTTCTTGACTATGTATCGACTGTTTGGGAGCCAGAATGATAACAAAAAAAGTCTCCAGACTATGGTTGAACTGTTGTGGAATGCTCCTCCTGTAGAGGGGCAGGCCCGACTGAACTCTGGGGCGACGGCCACCGCGTGGGGGTGGGGCGCTGCCGCTGCTCTTCTGCCGCCACCCTCTCGGCCCTCCGTGCGCGGGCCGCTCGGACATCGATGCCCCCCGGTGCCTTCCCCCGCCGAGCTGGGCGGGGGGGGCGCACACACCGCTGCTGGGCCCAGGCTGGGCATGGCCCGACACGCCAGACCCCAGCCTCCCTGGCACGCATCTCGGCACACCCCTCACACATCTCCTGGGCCCCATAGGGAGCTCCACCGATGATGATACTCACGACTGCGGTGCTCACGGCCGCACATGGTCGGGTCCTCCGCCAGGTCAAGTGTTCTTACTCTGCTGCAGGGCCAGCCAGCACAGCCTGTGCCAGCCCCAACACATCTTGTGAGCTTTCGCTGCACCTACTCCCAGAGCCCCTGTGCATTTTAATCACCATTTCTCGCATTGCACTTGTTTTGCCTCGTCACAGACACCATCTTCCCTGAGATCCGACGCTGCCAAAAAATTAAAACATCGCAGAGAATCACGCCCGGAGCCCTGGACCCCATCTTTCTGCGTCATGTTTGCGAGCCGGATCGATCTGTGAGGGTCCCGGGGCCCGAAAATCTAGCGAAAACGCAAGTTTTCTCCTGGATCTCAGGCTTTCTGCGGCATTCTCTGGGCGGGCACCACATGTGACGGCCCCGGGGCCCGACGCAGCGCACACTCGCCCGCTGTGCGAGACGTGCCACGCCGGGGGAGTAGCTCGGAGCAGGGCAAGCCGACTGCTTCGTGCTGAGCTCGCTGGCGCGCCCAGGCTCGGAGAGGGAGGAGGGGGCCGGCCTTCTCAGAGAAGCCTCCGCGCCTCCCGAGGAGCGCCCTGTTGTGTGCCCTCGGGGGCGGACCGTGGACCGCCCCTCGCGCGGCCCTGCGGCCCCCGTCTCCTGAGCCTCCTGGGGGGGGGGCCGCCCCCTCCGGCACTGCGCCCCTGGACGTGCCGCCGAGAGTGGAGGCCTACTAGATGGGGTCGGAGCAGATGGGGTCGGAAGATCGCGCCGCATGGCCGAGGCATCGCCGAGGCCTCGGCGATGCATCGGCGATGCACTGGCGATGCATGGTCGACGTCGGCGATGCATCCAAGACGGTGGCGTGGAGAGAATCGGGCCTCACAGCGAGCCGCATCGCCGACGCATCGGCGATGCGGCGCGATCCTCCGACCCCATCTGCTCCGACCCCACCTGGTAGGCCTAGAGAGAGAGAGAGGACTGGAGCAGGGCGAGCTGGGGCAAGGGCAGCTCAAAGTTGGGCCCCGGGCCCCTCCCCAGGCCCCAACGCACCGTGCAAGTGCTCCGAGCTGCGCCCCGCCGCGGCGGGCCCCCCCCGAAGGCCAGCGGCTGTCTCAGCTCGCCCTCCCCTGGGTGCAGGATCAGTCATCAAATCGGCAGATCGGATCGGATCGGATCGAAATGTTGTTTTTCTCACCGCGCAGTTTTGGAGGAGGAGGAGGAGGAAAGCTGAGGGGACGAACGCGACGCTGGCTGCACCCTAGGAGCGGATCGAAATGTGCATCGGATCGGGCTGCCTGCGCAGGGAATCTACACCGAATCGGGTCGGCTGCGCCTGGCCGCACACCAGCGCCGTGCAAGCACCGGGCCGCACCGGGCCGCGTCGGAACATCGGACTAAGCATTTTCTTTGGGTGGAGGGCTCAGGGTGAAATCCAGACGGGCTTCTGCACCTCGAAAACCAATCCGTCCTGTGATTCGCCCCTTGCAGATTCCAGCCTCGAGAATCCGTCGAAACGGCATTTCAGATTTCACCCTGTGCCCTCCACCCAAAGAAAATGCTTGGTCGGAACCGCGTCGGACCAGCCTGGGCCGGAATCGGCATCGAGCACACACCGAGGGGATCGAAGTGGCCCCTGGAGTGTATACGGGCACAGGGGGCGCCCTCCGACATGTTCAGCAGCAGCCGGGCCCCGTTCGCCGTCGCCAGCCGGCCCCCGGCCTCGAAGAGGGCGCGCGCGCGGCCGTACGCGGCGAGGCCGGGCTCGCCCCGGCCCAGCTCCGCGCACGCGACCCCGATGTTCATCAGCACCATGGCGGCGTCGGGGCCCCCCTGCTCCGCGGCGCCCACGGGGGGGCGGGCGGCGCGAGGGGAGCGGCGCGGCGACGGAGGAGGCGGAGGGGCCGCGCCTCCTCAGCGGCGGGGGGGGGGGCAACGACAGGGGGGGGGGGACTGGCACCGGGGGGGGGGGTGCATCGATCTGGAATCGGCGACACCTCGCCGATAGGTCGGCGATGGGCCCCCGATAGCGAATCCGCACCTTCCTGGCCAGATTGGGCCTATCGGGCCCCGAGCTGCGATCCATCGGCGATTGGGTCTCGAAGCATCCCGCCCTGTGCCTAACCCCCCCTGTCGCTGCCCCTGCAGCAGCCGCCAGGCCCTTCCGAGAGGGCCCCTGCCTTCTTAGAAGCCCCTCCGCCCTCTCGGACGCCCGCCCCCCCCACGCCACCCTTCCTCTGGGGCGCCGCCGGCCTGCAGGCCCGCAGACTCGAGGGCGTCCAGGGCGGCCTGGTACCTCGAGGGGGGCAGGCTCCACGAGCCCTGGGCGTCGGATGTGTTGCGAATGCGCGCGTTCGCCTGGCCGTCCCACCCCGGGATCAGCACAGATCGATCCGGCTCGAAAAAGGAAGCAGAATCAGGGCAGGAGCTCCGGTCGTGACGTTTCGCGACGCTGCAATTTATAGGGGCCCCAAGACACACAAATAAATACACACAAATAAAAAGATTCCCCATATTTTCCCATATTTTCTGCGGTTTTGTCTCCCCCCCCACTTCCCATATCTTCCCCTATTTGCTGGGGAGTCGACGATTCACAGTGTCTGTGTGTTTTTTCTTCCTCCTGACAATTTCGCGCAGCGTCGGACCTCAGGATCAGGGGAGGCCGCCCCAGGGCCCCAGGAGGGAAAAAGCAGCGAGCCGGAGAATCTCGGCGATCGATGCCGATCGCCGACGGATCGGCGACGTGCGCCCGCGAGCGCGCAGCCGCAGGCTCTCCTGGGCGGGGGGCGAGCTCTCGGGCCCCCCTTCTCGGCGATGAGTGAGCGATGGGGGGGTCGATGTGCAGGAGGAGGAGGAGGAGGAGGAGGAGGAGGACTTCCTTGTCCTGGCCCGCCCCGTTGGAGCCAGGCTCCACTCCCCAGCTCGCCGCCCGCTCGCCTGCGCGAGGCGCGCGCGGAGCTCCTTCGCCTCCTGGGCGTCCTCCTCCGCGGCCCGCGCGGCGGCCAGAGCCCGCTCGGGCCATGACTCGGGTCTCTGGCGGCCGTTCGAGACGCTCCAGGCACCCTGGGGACGCCTTCGGCGAGGCGCACCTGCTGCAGAGCACCCTAGGGCTGGAACCTCGGCAGAACACCTCCAACCTCGAGCCTGCCCCCCCTAGCGTTGCCCCTCATGCGGGCGCACGTTTCCTCCCCCCCGGTGAGAAGAAACGTGCGCAGCTTAGGGGCCGTCTGGGGCCCGTCGAGTCCACCCTACTGCAATCCTCGAATCCCCCTGGGCGCCCCCCTCCCCGTGGCCGTTCGCCCCGGACTCTGCACGCCCAGGATGGGGACAGAAAGTCTGCGGGTACGATGACCAACAGCAAGTGACTGTCCACGTGGAACAAAGAGTCGCTGTCCTTCGGGACCCTCCCTGACAAATGTTCCTACCATTTTGGCACCACGTCTGCCCACCTGGACAGCAGGCGCTGTCGCATGATGGACGGCAACTGCTGATGCGATGACAGGGTCTGTTGTCCGATGGGCCCCGAAGCGCAGCAAACTCTGCTTCGCATGAACAGGCCTTGCTGCTGGCTGTTGGCCAGCTGCTGGCTGTTGGCCGTCTTCTGCGGTAACCCTTGGGAGCCTCCCATATCATAGGGTTGGCCCTTGCGAGTCGACCCTGCTCGACGCTAGTCGACGCTAATCCGACGCTGATCGACGCTGGTCGACGCTATCTCATCGATCACCCGGCGCTAATCGGCGCCAGTCGACGCTACAGACAGAATCAAGAGGAGATGCAAGGCTCCTGCCCACACAATCCGCGCCCCCCATCCTGGGAGTGCAGAGCTCTGCCGCCCGCCCGACACACCTGGGCGACGATCAAAAACCGGTCTTACGCGAGATGGCATGGCGACCTTACGCGGTGGTTTACGCGGGCCGCCAGCGCGGCACGCCAACGTTGAGGCGAGGGCGCTTGCGCGAGACCCTACGCGGGCAGCTCACGCGCCAATGTCGGCGCAGACGACCCCGCTTTCTGGCGTCGCTCACCTGCCGAGCGCCTCCTCGCCCTCCCCCGCCTCGGCGGCGGCGTTGCCCTCCTTCGACAGACGCGTTCCGCTACTCGCAAAGTCACTACTCGCAAAGGGCCTGGATCCGCCATGGGAGATTTACAATCAATTACATCGATTTGAGCAGGGACCGACCGTCCCGGCATTCCTAAGTCCTACCACGAAATGTTCTTAGAACCCAAAAAGTTTCTAAGAACAAAAACACATGTTCTTCGAGCATTGACCCGATGTGTTAAACCAAGACAGTCCCGGCCAGAAACGTCCTAGGAACAGTTCCTGGAAACCTCAGAAGAGGTTCTTAGAACGTTGCTTGGTGGGGCTATGGGCGAGCCAGGACGCTCCGCCACCGCTTGACCGATGCAGACAGGTGTTTTTTCTGACGTTTGCGAGTAGGCACTTTGCGAGCAGTGGAGGTCGCTCGGCGACTCCTCGAACAGCGCGCGCCACTCGGCGGAGCCGCCAGGCGCCTCGGCGGCGGTGCCGCCCGCCGCGCCGCCGCGGGGCGCCGCCTGCGCGCGGGGGGCGCGGCCGGCCGGCCGGCGGGGGCGAGCAGCTGGGCGAGCGCGCGCGGGCACTGCACCTGCCCGAGGGAGAGGGAGGAGGAGGAGGAGGAGGAGGAGGAGGAGGAGGACCTCCTCCTCCCTCCTCGCTCCCTCCCTCCCCCGCCCTGTTTGCCTACTTTCGCTCGTAGCTCTGACTCCCCCTCAGGGCTGGCTTGTGGCCAGCCCTGGGGGAAGCGGCAGCGCTCGGCGAGCACCAACGCCGCCAGGCAATCCCGAAATCGGCAGGAGAGGCAAGGACAAGGATGCTGTGGCGATCCCGTGGCGCGCGCGGCCGCGCCCTCCAGAGGGGGCAGGGCAGGCCGGTCGTGCCCGGCCCGTCTCCCACGAGGCGTCAAGGGCTGCACCGTACCAAGGCGCCCTGTGGGCACGGGAGGTCGGATCGCACCGGGCGCGCCAGAGAATCGGATAAGATCGGATCGCCATTCGAGGCCTGCGTGCCCCAACGTGCCCAGGAGCGTGGGGGTTCCTGACCGAGGGCCTCTGGAATCTAGCAAACAAACCTGGAGCTCCTCCAAGCATGTCCCGACCCCTCTCTCCGTGGGCAGTCCCCCAATGTCCCCCGGCCACCCGCCCTGGATCATGTCGTCGGAGATCTGGGATCCGCGCCCAGCCGCGGCAGCGAGGACCTCCAGAAACGGCCTCCGAGCCACCCACAACAAGAACAACGACGACAAACGCCGTCATCGCCGTACGGCACGCTGCAGTGGCAGCGAAACCAAGACACCCGACGCCGTGATTCGCTTACAGCGCGGACCCCAAGAGGTCTTGACCCTTTCCCAAGGACCAGCTCGTCGTGATGAGTTGTCGGTGAACGGCTCTGGAACCCAGATTACCGTTTTCTCATTCGGCGTTTCGACAGTGGGCGGAAGTGGGGGGGCGGGGTGGGGGGTCTGGCTCCAGACCTCTGCTTAATGCAACTGTTGGCAGCAGTGCGTCCTATGGGGGAGACTCCACCTGCTCGAAACGGGGGCCAGAAGAGGCCAGGATCTACTCTATACGGGGGGACGGATGGGGAGAGGGGGTGCGAGGGCCCGCGCCGATCAGCAGAACAAGGAACGAGAAAACGAGCACCAGTGAGGCCCCCTTGAGGCAGTAACCTGTCAGAAGTTCCCCCCCTGCGGCAGAAGAACTGCCCTCGACGCACCCTTACGGGTGCACGATTTGCGGGCCACGGTGATCCACCGATCTCGGGGGCCCGGGCTCCCCCACCAGGCCCGAGCAAAGACATGGCAATCCCTTACACATACGGCAGGTTCGTGTCGTGCCGACCCCAGCGTTGGTTTTTGACACCGCAGGGATCATTCAACCTTGAACGATCGGCCGCTGCCGCAACGTCCGATCGTTCAACATCGATCGATTCTGGGTCGCCGGCGGCGTTCAACCTTGAACGCCCGCGCTGGGGTCGCCGCTGGTCGACACGACGCAAACCTACCGTACGTGAGCTGTGTTGGGAACCTCCCGTCGGGATCCCTCCGCGGCCCCCGGGGGGCCTTCTCGAACGATGGCTCTTCCTTCCGAGACGCTGGTGTTCAGCTCGCAGCGTGCTGATGGCATGGCCCTCTTGCGGGGCCTCTGAGGCCAGTGGCTGCGGAGGTGGGGAAGCGATGCCGCAGTCCCAGCCACCCCGCCAGCGCTAGAACAGTGTGCAACTGTCCTGCCAGGCACTGCATCCAGAACGCCACCGCCAGCGCTAAAACATCCTGCATCTGTCTTGCCAGGATCTGCATCCAGGACGATCCTCTGATCCCCGGACCGCCACTCCAGGGGTGCGTTCAGGTCGGAACCAAGAGGAGCACCCAGCCGTGGCGACGAGAGCTCTCCAGAAGGGGCAGCGGCATCGGTCTCGCCTCCTCCCTGAGATCCGACGTTGGACAACATGGAACGTCGCAGCAAAACACGACCAGAGCCCTGGACCCCATCTTTTCTGCGTCGTCTTTCGAGCTGGATGGATCTGTGAGGCTTCCGATGCCCGAAATTGGACGGAAAGAATCCGTTTCATTTGCTTCGGCGACGACACAAATTAATCGTGGGAGGTCATTCAGACCCCCACCCCGTGTTACTGCTAGCACCGAAACGGAAATAAATAACTGGCGGGGACTGATTTAGCAGAGCGATATCCTTAGAACAGAACTAAGCAACAACATTCAATATTTTGTCCCTCTGCCTCATCCTCATCATCCTCCTGCTCCTCGTCCTCCTCCTCCTCTCCTTCATCCTCCTCCTCCTCCTCCTCGTCCTCCTCCTCTCCCCCTCAGGGTGCCAAAATAACGCTTCCAGGTACTGGATGCATTATCGCTTCACCGGAAAGGGTGGTCCTTAATTGATGACTTCCCATGGTTATCCACTTGGGGGAGGGCACCTGCCGATAACCTAACATTTTGGCTTTGGGCAGCCCCACTTACACCCGCGTGCACTAGCACTGCGAAGCCCCCTTCGAAACCGACAAGGTCAGGTTAGATGGACATACCTTAATATATATACAATTATACATATATATGTGTGTTTGTACATACCTATGCACGCATGCATGCATATATATATATATATATATATATATATATATACACATGAGCATACAAACGACTATATATATGCATATATGTGTATAGATGTACGTCCATGTATGTGTATAGAAATATGTATGCCAATGTGTGTGTGGTGTGTGTGTGTGTGTATCCGGCCGGGGGGGGCGCGGGGGGGCCGATAACCCAGGTTTTGCCCGGCTACAGCCGGGCTGCTGAAACAAGGAACGATTAATAGGAACGATGCCCCTTTTTGGCACCCAAAGCGGCTGCTTGCACGAGGGGGGCCCGAGGAACGGCCATGGGAGAACCCAAAGAATATCGAGCCCCAACCGAACCCAAACTGCTCCTTATTTCGACGTCTCGACTGTATCTCAAACGCTTGCTATGAAAAAATGCAAAGCCAGGAACCCGACATCTTATTTTTTTCACAACGTCGACCCCCAAAAGATCTCGACCCACTTCCCAGGACCAGCTTCTCGTCCTGCGCCGTTTTGTTGACGGCCCCGAAACCTGGGTAAAGGGCCCACAGAGGCCAAACCTGGCGAAGAACTTCCGTCGTGACGTGTTCGCACAAAGAGGGGCTCCGATAGAAGAAGAGCAAACACGGCATACAAATAACCTGTTGGCGCTCCGGACAGTTCTCTTGGCTCTGCGTTCACCTGCAGACTCCCCTCCCTGGTTCGCGGAGCGCGCCAGGGGCGGCGCCGGAGGCGCCGCCAGGGGGAGCCCAGCTCGGATACAAGAAATCCGCACGAAGCGCCGACAACATATGCTTATGTCGGGGAAACGTAAGGCTCGAGTTCGGGGGACTCGGGTTGGCCTGACGGGGCCATCATAAAAATGACGAGACCCAATCTGAGATTTGACGCGAACTCCCGCTGCAGACCTCCGACGAAGGCCACACCGTCCAAACCCAGACCAACCTCGCCAAAAAACGTCGGCAGACCCGGGCTCCAGCTCACTCGAATCTCACGCTTCCCTGCGTTTTGCAAGATGAAGACGATCGGCATGTTCCCCTACAGGTGGACTTTGGAGGAACATTCAAAAGTACTCGAGAACATCCAAAACAGCAGCAAATGGTAGAATGATCGTCCCCATGCTTAGTATGGGGACGATACCAAGTATGGGGACGATACTCGCCCCCATACTCAGTATCGTCCCCAAAGGTAGTCAAAACATAAGATTCTTGACCAGTTTTGAATACCCCTCCTGTGAAGGGACGCGCCCGACGTAAACCTAGATCTGAGTTGGATGCTCGTTCTGGGGACCTTCCTGGGGCCACTCGCTCCACTCGTGCGTCGAAGCTGCGTCGACCGTCAGTCGATTTGTATTGGGTCGACCCTGAGTCGAACCTGAGTCGAACCCGAGACGAACCTGAGTCGAACCTAAGTCGAACTTGAGTCGAACTGGGGTCGAACAGATCCATTAGGTGGGCTCCAGGAAGGTCCCCGAAACGGGCATCGAATCTGAGGGCACCGCCCGGCACCCTCGGCCGCCGCCTCGGCGCCGCGGCCCGCGCCGCCGCGCGGCGCCGCCCACCGCTGGCCGCCGCCCGGCGCCGCAGCCCGGCGCGCGGGCGGCGCCCGCGCGGCGGCGCCCGCGAGGCAGGCCGGCAGCCGCCGGAGCGTGGCCCGGCAGCCCAGGAGCACCTGCTCGGACGCCCGGAATGGGCACGGAAAGAATGGGTATACAGTCGGGGCGTTGACCCAAGGAACCCTAAATAAGGAACGAGGCCCCTTTTTTCCATAAGCGCACCTTCGATCTCCTGTCGGAAACATAAAAAAAGCCTGAGGCAAGCTGTGAAACACTTAAGGAACGCGGAGCCCCTCCCCGACGAAAAGGGTTCCTTCTTCAGGGCCCCGACTGTACAATGCCCAACAACAAATGTTGTCCCAAACCAACAGCGGCCGCTGTCGGGCAGGCGGCCCTCTGCCTCAAATGGACACAGGCCGCGGCGACACCGACAGAGAGTC